TTCAAACTACAAGAGAGGAGATTCCATCTGAACATGAGGAAGAACTTCCTGACTGTGAGAGCTGTTCAGCAGTGGAACTCTCTGCCCCGGAGTGTGGTGGAGGCTCCTTCTTTGGAAGCTTTTAAACAGAGGCTGGTGGCCATCCGTCAGGGGTGATTTGAATGCAATATTCCTGCTTCTTGGCAGGGGGTTGGACTGGATGGCCCATGAGGTCTCTTCCAACTCTAGGATTCTATGATTCTATGACTACATGAATGGCACAAACACAACAACTAGGGCATATAGTAAGACACATAACAAACCAACAGTGGCACCAACACTATCCCTTTATTTACTCAAACAGTAAATCTATGAGGGTTGAATGAAAAGTAATGCCTCCATCTTCATTACTTGGATTTGGATGGGAATATTTTAATAAATCAAACGCAGAAGTAATCCTTAGAATGTGCTCTTTAACTACCACTATTCTGAGGGCCTGTTCACACACACCCCAGAAAGTGCACACAGTGGGTGTCCAGATGGTTTTGCGGAACTGGCCCGCAATAACATCTGGAAGCCCTACCCCTCTCTACCGAAGTCCCCAAATCCCTTTGAAAAATATATAAATTTACCCAGCCTCCATTACAGTCTTGGAGCAGCTCTCCTGGCGCGTAGTAATGATGGAAAATCGCTCCCCCCCCCCCCCGGCTCTCCTGGTGCGTCATTACAATACGCTGGGAGAGCTGCTCCAAGACTGCCATGTAGGTCGGGTAAGTTTTTTTTTACTTTTCAAAGGGGTTTGGGGACTGTGGGAGAGGGGGCGGTTATTCCCACAGTTTTTTGGACTAATTTAGTCGGGTGTTACTGCAATAAAGGTACTGTCTGGACGGGCCCTGGGTTATCTGAGTCCACACTCAGGGCCCTTCCACACAGCCATATAACCCAGTGGTTCTCAACCTGGGGTCCACAGATGTTTTTGGCCTTCAACTCCCAGAAGTCCTAACAGCTGGTAAACTGACTGGGATTTCTGGGAGTTGTAGGCCAAAAACATCTGGGGACCCCAGGTTGAGAACCACTGATATAACCCAAAACATCAAGGCAGAAAATCCCACAATATCTGCTGTGAACTGCGTTATCTGAGTCCGCACTGCCATTTATTCCAGTTCAATGTGGATTTTATATAGCTGTGTAGAAGGGGCCTAAGAGAAAGGGAATTACAAATACCATACCTTCTGAATTAATCTTGCCAAGAACCCCTATGATAAGGTCATAATCGACGTACAGTACATTTCTACTTTTGTGATTCTTCAATATATGCCTTGTCTATAATTATTCCTATTGTACATATGTATTGTCCCTTCTCCTTTTCATTTAACAGCTATTTACCTTCTTATGGCCCTTTCACACTGCCATATAATCCAGAATATCAAGGCAGACAATCCCACATTATTTGAGTGTGGACTCAGAGAACCCAGTTCAAAGCAGATATTGTAGGATTTTATGCCTTGATATTCTGAGGGCCCTTCCACACAGCCCTATATCCCAGAATATCAAGGCAGAAAATCCCACATTATCTTAATGCGGACTCGGATAACCCAGTTCAAGGCAGATATTGTGAGATTTTCTGCCATGATATTCTGGGATATAGGGCTGTGTGGAAGGACCATGAGTCATATGGCTATGTGGAAGGGCCCTGAGATACATCTCGAGACTCAAGCTCTCTCTTTCACACCAGGCACTAATTTGGCCAGCCTTGGATGTTTTATACTTTGGGGATGCAGGATGGGGTTGGGAGGAGATCACTTGTTCTTCAAACTCAGGCAAGCAAATCTTTTGGACCAAACATAGCATTTGCGCTGTGTTCATAACACTCCATGTTTATTTATTTATTTATCATGTCAGGAGCAAACCAAACAGTTGTATTGCATTTTTAACAAACAAACAAACAAACAAACAAAACACAAAGTTTGCAAGCTTTGTAGTTGATTGGTACTGGTCCTTGGACCAGTAGCTGGCCTTGGAGTGCCTCTGGTTTTACTATAAGAAGGTCCTCCATTGTGCATGTAGCAGGGCTCAGGTTGCATTGCAGCAGGTGGTCTGTAGTTTGCTCTTCTCCACACTCGCATGTCGTGGATTCCACTTTGTAGCCCCATTTCTTGAGGTTGGCTCTGCATCTCATGGTGCCAGAGCACAGTCTGTTCAGCACCTTCCAAGTCGCCCAGTTTTCTGTGCCTCTCATTTGGTATCAGCCATTGATTGAGTTCTGGGTTTGAGCCTGCCACGTTTGGACTCTCGCTTGCTGAGGTGTTCCAGCGAATGTCTCTGTAGATCTTAGAAAACTGTTTCTTGATTGAAGTCGTTGATGTGCTGGCTGATACCCAAACAGAGGATGGGCCAGAGATGTCACTTCCTTGGTCCTTTCACTATTGGCTGCTACTTCCCGGTGGATGTCAGGTGGTGCAATACCAGCTAAACAGTATAATTTCTCCATTGGTGTAGGGCGCAGACACCCCGTGATAATGCAGCATGTCTCATTCCACTCCATGTGTATAGCTGGGATTTCGGGGAGCTGAAGTCCAAAACACCCGGAGGAGCACTGTATTAATCAAATCTACAGACAATCAAGTCTCCAACATTTAAACGTGCAAATGTGTAGGGCCAGTTGTAATGCTGTGGTTCCATTACTACAGCTTTACGATTGCTATCACATTCTGGGGTTTGGGAAGGCTGCAAATTCTACATGACTCTAAATGGCAAATCCTAGTGTTACATAGGAAGAAGCTGTGAAAGTTAAAGTAGATTCGTGACACCATAATTACGTAGTGTGAAAGAGCACTAAGCCAGAAGGCTACACTGATATTTTCAGATATTTATCTTGCGTAGGAGGTCTGGATTTGATTCCTCGCTTAATCAAGTCTCCCTTGGATCTATAAAAATAAGTCATCAACAATAACCTGACTCATTGTGTGAGGATAAATGGGTATGGCAACAGTACCTAAATATGGCTTAAGGGATGACTTTAAATATTAACATTTGCAATTTCTTTGGTGCTGTCTTGCAGAGATATCTGCAAGTGTGAGCAAAAAGAACAATTGTAGCAACTTTATGGGTTGCTGCAGTTTTGTGTTCAGAGAAGACCAGTGAGTCTTCAAGCATCAACTCCAAGAGTATAGCTTGTATGTTGTGTTGTTGTTGTTTATTTGTTCTGTCGCTTCCGACTCTTCGTGACCTCATGGACCAGCCCACGTCAGAGCTCCCTGTTGGCCATCACCACCCCCAGCTCCTTCAAAGTCAAGCCAGTCACTTCAAGGATACCATCCATCTATCTTGCCCTTGGTCGGCCCCTCTTCCTATTTCCTTCCATATTCCCCAGCATCATTGTCTTCTCTAAGCTTTCCTGTCTTCTCATGATGTGGCCAAAATACTTCATCTTGGCCTCTAATATCCTTCCCTCCAATAAGCATTTGGGTTTTATTTCCTGGAGTAAGGACTGGTTGGTTTTTCTTGCGGTCCAAGGCACTTTCAGAACTTTCCTCCAGTACCACAGTTCAAAAGCATATATCTTCCTCCGCTCATCCTTCCCTATGGTCCAGCTCTCACATCTGTAGGTTACTATGGGGAATACCATTACTTTAACTATGTGGATTTTTGTTGACAAAATGATGTCTCTACTCTCCACTTTTTTATATGTTGTACCTGCACTACTGACCGAAAGGTCATGAGTTCGAAGCCAGCCCGGGTCGGAGTGAGCTCCTGGCCAAAATTGTGTAGCTTGTTGTCGACCTTTGCAACCCAAAAGACAGTTGCATCTGTCAAGTAGGAAATTTATGTACCACTTATGTGGGGAGGCTAATTTAACTGATTTACGAGGCCATAAAAATCTCTAGGAAGTATGCAAAGAATGGGGAAAGTACTTCATCTGTCAGTGATTTGATTATTCATGAATTTGATTAAAATGTTCTTAGGAATCTCTATGTCCTCCAGTGCAACTCTATAGTCAGCTTCCTCCAGAAGTTGACAATGGAGTCATGCCAGAGGACCTAGAAATTTCTAGCAAGGTACTTTTTTAGGTTAAAAAAGATATCAAATTCTATTTGAGTTTTTTTTTTCACTTTCACAGGGACCCTGTGCCTCTAAACTAAGCAAATGTAGAGGGCTGACTATATTCTCAACCAATTAAACATAGAATCATAGAGTTCGAAGATACTTCATGGGCCATCCAGTCCAACTCCCTGCCAAGAAGCAGGAAACATTCAAAGCACCCCTGACAGATGGCCATCCAACTTCTGTTTAAAAGCCTCCTAAGAAGGAGCCTCCAACACACCCCTGGGCAGAGAGTTCCACTGCTGAACAGCTCTCACAATTAGGAAATTCTTCATAATGTTCAGATGGAATCTCCTTTCCTGTTGTTTGAAGCCATTGTTCTGCATCCTAGTGTCCAGGGCAGCTGTAAACAAGCTTGCACCCTCCTCCCTATGACTTCCGCTCACATATTTATACATGGCTATCATGTCTCCTCTCAGCCTTCTCTTCTGCAGGCTAAACATGCCCAGCTCTTTAAGCCGCTCCTCATAGGGCTTGTTCTCCAGACTCTTGATCATTTTAGTTGCCCTCCTCTGGACAAACCACAGAGCTTGTTGTCTGAATACTGGCATTCTTTATGACATGTTTGCGCTCCAACAAACCAGAGAAACAAGCAAAGGCTGGGTTCCCATTCTGGTTTGTTGAGAGAGAGATTGTGCCCTCATTTAAGCTGGCCATTATACAAGCCCTAGAGCAAAGTGTTATAGTTTGTTTAATTACAGGAGTGTTGGAGCAGCACGGATTCCCATGTTTTATGGTGTCTCATTGTCTGTCTCATCGTCTGATGGCAGAGGATGGATTTGCCGCTAGGTAGCAGGCTAGGTATTTGTGCGTCCTTCTTTCCCATTGCCCTTATAGCTGCTCCTCAGGTAGGCCCAATGAGGAAATCCCAGCTGTAGCATCCACTAACCTGCTCTCCTTTCTTTCCAACCCCACAGACTTTGGAGTGATGGATCTGCCACTGGAGGTCCCTCCGGTCCAGCCTCAACTGGAGACTCAGCAACTCCCTCCCTCCACCCAGGTCTGCGAATTGCGCACGGCTGTGTCCTGTTTTGCTGAGGAGACCGTCTCCATGCTCTCGGCCAACGGCCTTCTGAATCACTCTGTACTCAGGACAGCAGGTGGCATGGGGTCCCAAACAAAGGAGCATGGGGCAAACTCAGCCATGGCCCGCCGCAAGCGAGAGTTCACCCCAGATGAGAAGAAGGATGATGGCTACTGGGACAAAAGGAAGAAGAACAACGAGGCTGCCAAGCGTTCCCGGGAGAAGCGGCGGGTCAGCGATCTGGCCCTGGAGGGGCGGGTGCTGGCCCTGTTGGAGGAGAACGCTCGCCTCAAGGCCGAACTGCTGGCCCTCAAATTCCGCTTTGGTTTGATTCGGGATCCAATGGAGCCTGTCCGACCAGTGGTGGCCCTTCCCCCTGGCCCAGAGGTCCCCCGGCCAGCCACAACACCACAGCACTACCCAGTGGCTCCTGAGCCACCGCGCTATGCCTGCCCTTTCCGACCAGAGCCGGCCACCAGCTCTGAGGATTCTGGGTTCTCCACCCCAGGCAGTTCCAATATGGGGAGCCCTGTCTTTTTTGAGGAGCGTGACAGAGTTGAAGAAGGAATGGTTTATGACGGGCAGTGCTTGGTGCCCGAGGCTCCTGTTGACGGAGCCGATTTGGGCCGAGCTGGCCGTTATGACTCTGGGGAGAGTGTCAAAGGGCTCCCTCACAAGCTGCGTTTCAAAATGGCTGTAGGGTCAGAGGAGGTTGCCGGGGAGCCCTCTGGACATTACCCACCATCTTCTCCACCCGTTGGAACATGGAGAAGCCCAGCCACCCGAGAGGAGCAGAGGAACGTGGGAGTGCCTGGTGGAGCCATGGCATTTGACAGCTGCTGCGAAACAGACACCCCTGGGGTCCAGCTGCCAGCCCTTCCGGGGTCCCACTACCAGACAGAAAACAGCACCTTGCGGAGCCAACTCGCCTCACTTTCTGCTGAAGTGGCCCAGCTCAAAAAGCTCTTCTCTGAACAGATCCTCATCAAGATGAACTGAGCAAGGGCAGGAAGCTGAATGCCTGGGCTCATAGGCAGAGGGTGGGTTCCTTTCCCTCCTCACCCCCACTCCCGAATTGTCAAGCCCTATGTTTGTACATAATGTGGCCCTGTGGGGTCGGTTTCTTCTGTTTCCATTCATTAGAACTCCTTACTTTACTATTTGTGCTATTAACTCCTGCTTCTGGCAGCTCTCAAACTTTTTATGTTCAGGAAATTCAGGAAATATATTTTCTATTTGAACTTTTCTGCCAGAAAACCTTAGTGTTAGAAGATTCCAGTAGGCATCGTTCACATGGGCCAGATGGGGTCTATGATACTCCTAGCAGGCTGTAAAGGATAATGGTTTATGGACAGTGACTGTCAGTGTGAAACTTGAGGCAAAGGGCAATATGGATCCTATCCCACCCCATTTAATGTACCAAAGTGAAATGGGCTAGCAATTCAATTTGACTTGGATGATGGGGCTGTCTCCTACTCCATACCTACTTTAGAGTGTGCATGATAAGCCATGTGTCACACCCAAATCTATTTTCTACGAGGGTTGAATGAAAAGTAATGCCTCCACCTTCGTAACTCCTCAACACAGGCCCGTAGCCAGGATTTCGATTCCGGGGGGGGGGGGGGGGTGAGTCTGAGTGAAAGAGGGTCTACCTAGCAAACCTTTTGTATCGTTACCCCAATACCCCCATGCATATGGGATATATTGAGTATGGTGATCAGATCATGATATGAATAAACATAACAGTTTAAATAATGCACCAAGAAGGCCTTTTCGCGAACCACCATGAGAATTTCGGGGGGGGGGCTGAAGCCCCTCAAGCCCCCCCCCCCCCCGGCTACATGCCTGCCTCAATAGATGGCAGTACTGGTATGCGGCAGGTACAGGCTTGTTCAGTAGACTCTTCTCTACAGTTCCATTTTGATGGGAAGTCTTAGCATTGAACGGTTGTGTTGTTAAAGTGTGACGTATGGAACCCTGTGCAGACGGTCGGTCAATGTGACTTAAGCATTCAATCATTGAATTCTTGACAGCAGAAGGTGTCACCCCAAAGGAGATCCATCAGAGAATGCAAGCTGTTTATGGTGATTGTGTTGATGTGAGTACTGTGCATCGTTGGGTGAGTAAGTTTAAAGATGTTGAAGTGGGAACATTTGAGTTGGGTGACAAACAAAGAGTTGAACGTCCTGTGACAGCAACCACTGAGTTTCACAAGCAAAAGGTTGACAGATTGATTCAGGACGATCGTCATATCACTCAGAGAGAAATTTCAAGCATAATTGGCATTTCACAAGAAGGTGTGGGTCACATTATTACTTTGCCTGGCTATCGGAAGATCTGTGCACAATGGGTACCCAAAACAGAGTGTCGATTTCTTCCGTGACGGCTTCAGAAAACTTGTTCATCATAGACAGAAATGTATCCAATTGTCTGGTGATTATGTGGAAAAGTGAATAATGGTAGTGAGGTAGAGAGGGGTAGAGCTTCCAGATGTTATTGCGGGCCAGTCCCGCAAAAGCATCTGGACACCCACTGTGTGCACTTTATGGGGTGCGTGTGAACAGGCCCTCAGAATAGTGGTAGTTAAAGAGCACTTTCTAAGGATTATTTCTGTGTTTGATTTATTAAAATATTCCCATCCAAACCCAAGTAACGAAGGTGGAGGCATTACTTTTCATTCAACCCTTGTAATACTCCTTCCACACAGCTGAATAAAATCCCAGATTATCTGCTTTAAACTCAAATATATGGCAGTGTGGACTCAGGTAGCCCAGTTCAAAGCAGATATTGTGGGATTTTCTACCTTGATATTCTGAGTTACATGGCTGTCTGGAAGAGTCCTAAGGAAATAGTAGAGGAATACAGCTGCTGACAGTTACCACCAGTATCTGATTGTGGAGACAGTTGCCTTGCCTTGTCTCATGGTAGGGCTGATCATAGCCATTGCTGCTCATTTCACTGTGTTTCCATTGACTCCAAACCAGAGCTCGGTAGCCACTGTCCTATTCAGAAACATCAACCCTATTAGTTGTTTCCTCTCCAATGAGTCTAACTCAACCCCATTCCGCAGTGTCAGTCTTGGGAGAGTAGAGATTGGTGGGTCTCAGTGTCTCTTGTATGGTCTCCCTCTCCCCACTTAGTTCTGAGTACATTGAGTTTTGCTAGATTGAAAACTGTAGGTTAGGGTGGGCACACAGATGTTTTAGATGTTTAAAAACAGACCTGGGAATTCCCAGAATTCGTAAGCTAGAATGTGCAGTAGTCATGGTGGTTGGTAAATTCAGAGTTATAGTTTGAGGAAGAACTTAATTTGGCTCCCTCTCAGTGATATGCAGGCCAAGGAACTGGCATGATTGGAAAACAAATAAGAGCAAATGAAGTAGAGAACAAGTAAAGTGGAATCATAGCACCATAATTGTGTTATTTGGTGAAGACAAATAGCAGTGTGTTACTCACATTGTCATGCTACCCTTCTCAAGTGCTTCATTTCTAGGTCTCAGGCCTCTTCCACATCTATATAAATAAAAATGTAATGTTCATTTGTGGGATTAACAGAACTCAAAAACCACTGGACGAATTGACACCAAATTTGGACACAAGACACCTAACAACCCAATGTATGTCCTTCACTCAAAAATTGATTTTGTCATTTGGAAGTTGTAGTTGTTGGGATTTATAATTCACCTACAATCAAAGAATTCACCTACAATCAATCTCCTGACTGTGAGAGCCGTTCAGCAGTGGAACTCTCTGCCCCGGAGTGTGGTGGAGGCTCCTTCTTTGGAAGCTTTTAAACAGAGGCTGGATGGCCATCTGTCAGGGGTGATTTAAATGCAATATCCCTGCTTCTTGGCAGGGAGTTGGACTGGATGGCCCAGGAGGTCTCTTCCAACTCTTTGATTCTATGAAAGAACATTCTGAACCCCACCAATGATGGAATTGAACCAAACTTGGCACACAGTTCTCCCATAACCAAGAGAAAATATTGGAAGGGTTTGGTGGGCACAGTCAGGAGATTGATTGTAGGTGAATTCTTTGATTGTAGGTGTCCAAATTTGGTTTTGGAGTTATAGTTCACCTACATCCAGAGATCACTGTGGACTCAAACAATGATGGATCTGGACCAAACTCTACACAAATACTCAATATGCCCAAATGTGAAAACTGGTGAAGTTTGGAGAAAATAGAATCTTGACATTTGGGAGTTATAGTTGCTGGGATTTATAGTTCACCTACAATCACAGAGCATTCTGAACCCCACCAACAATAGAATTGGGCCAAGCCTCCCACACAGAACCCCCATGTGGACCACAGCAACACGTGGCAGGAGATGGCTAGTAGGTGAATAAAATCTTACATTATCGGCTTTGAACTGGAGTATATGGCAATGTGGAATCGGATAACCCAGTTCAAAGCAGATATTGTGGGATTTTCTGCCTTGATATTCTGGGTTATAGGGCTGTGTGGAAGGGCCCTCAGACTTCCCTGGAAGGCAAACCCTTCTCACCGTCCTTGAGGTTTGGGAGATATCTGCTATTGTTTTGTAGTGGATGAAAGGCATTTTGTACATGCCCCAGAGTACTCTCTTTACAGTATATGTTCCACGCTGGAATCTTGGCACTGAAAATATTCAACTGAAGATTATTATTATTTAGTTGATTTGTCATCTGCCTTTTAATCTAACCATTTAATTGATTTTAAATAAATTTGTGTATGGCTATATCCTCACCATGGATTTGGGTTTTTTTGTAAAAGAACTGATACGTTTTCGTAAACAAACTCATTATTAGAAGGAAATACTATTGCTTTGTCCCTTCTTTGTTATAGTTATTCACTGAAATCACATCCAGGCGTCCCCTGGGCAACGTTCTCGCAGACGGCCAATTCTCTTGCACCAGAAGCAACTTGCAGTTTCTCAAGTCACTCCTGAAACACATACACACACATGCACAAAAACCCAGAATCAAAATCACCAAAGCAGCCCTGTGAAATAAGCATGTATATACTCAACTCATGTCCTATCAATTAATCAACTAATTTTTTGCTTGATTTATCTGATTAAATCTCACTGTCCTAAATTACAATGATATTCAGAATATAAAGTCTTGATCACACATTTTCAGTTCAAGTAAGTTTTTGTAGAAAGACCTCGTAATATATGTGTCCCCCTGCATTCATCCTGAAGGAGATAGTGGGCTATCATTTCAGATACTAGGAGGTCATTTTTAGGTTCTTGTGGGTTTTTTCGGGCTATATGGCCATGTTCTAGAGCAGTGGTTCACAACCTTCCTAATGCCGCGACCCCTTAATACAATGCCTCATGTTGCGGTGACCCCCAACCAAAAAATTATTTTCGTTGCTACTTCATAACTGTAATGTTACTACTGTTATGAATCATAATGTAAATATCTGATATGCAGGATGTACTTTCATTCACTGGATGAAATTTGGCATAAATACCCAATACACCCAAATTTGAATACTGGTGGGGTTGGGTGGGATTGATTTTGTCATTTCGGAGTTGTAGTGGCAGGGATTTATAGTTCATCTACAATCAAAGAGCATTCTTAACTCCGCCAACAATGGAATTGAACCAAACTTGGCACACAGAACGCCCATGACCAACAGAAAAAACTGGAAGGGTTTGGTGGGCATTGACCTTGAGTTTTGGAGTTATAGTTCACCTACATCTAGAGGGCATTGTGGACTTCAGCAATGATAGGTCTGGACCAAACTTGGCACGAATCCTCAATGTGCCCAAATGTGAACACTGGTGGAGTTTAGGGAAAATAGACCTTGACATTTGGGAGCTGTTGCTGGGATTTATAGTTCACCTACAGTCAAAGAGCATTCTGAACCTCACCAATGATAGAATTGGACCAACTTCCCACACAGAACCCCCATGACCAGCAGAAAATACTGTGTTTTCTAATGGTCTTTGGTGACCCTTCTGGCAACCCCTCGTGACCCCCCCCAGGGGTCCCGACCCCCAGGTTGAGAAACACTGTTCTAGAGGCATTTCCTCCTGACGTTTCGCCTGCATCAGTGGCAAGCATCCTCAGAGGTAGTGAGGTCATTTTTGCCAGTGGTATTATCTAGAAAGATATATACCTGGACTGTCCAGGATGGGGGAAAGACCCATTGTCTGTTTAAAGCAAATGTGAATGTTGCAGTTAGCAAGCATGAATAGCATTGAGTAGCCATGAAGCTGCAAAGTCAATCAGTAAGGGTATCTGCACAGAGGTAGCCAACAGACCTATGAAGATGCCAGCCACAGATGCAGATGAAACGGCAGGAGAGAATGTTTTTTTGGCCATACAGCCCAAAAAACTCACAGCAACTCATTACATCTCCAATGATTCCATGGCATTGAGCTATGGTTGTCAAGCTGCATTCATTCTACAGTGTAGATGTACTCTGTGTGAACCTCAGGCTGGATCTACACTGTCATACAATCCAGTTTAAAGCAGATAATCTGGATTATCTAGTTATCTAGAAATATGAGGATTCTATCTTAGACATCTTTGAAAACAAAGAAGCGTGCAATTAGCATGCTGTCCTAGTTCAGACTTTTCACTTGGAGTCTATATGGCAAACACTGATGAAT